TCACATTCACGTCCTTTGATAATCTAGTGATAGATCTCCAAAGCATTGGAAGGAGATTTCCAACGCAAAGAAGATTTTACATCTTCTTAACTCGTTGTCATCATCATATGAAACACTATCAAAGAGCTCATTGTGATACAAAGATTATCACTTCCAACAAAGTTGTAAGTGCTCTCTTTGCAGACGAGGTGTAACACAAAATGATGTCATCATCTTGTCCATCCACTTTCATGACTCTGATTGTGATCTGACATCAATTACGATTGAAGTGTGCCGACAATTAAAAGAGTGCTTGATTCAAGAGAATAAGATTTTAATAAGACTTAACCTTGTATATACAAGGTTAAGTCTCTGATATATAAATTGTGACTTTTAAGACTAGGACAATAGTGGCCACATCAAGAGATACAATTGTATGAAGATCATTGGCGTAGTTATTGCTCCATTGGCAAATGTTGCAGAAGACTTCAACCCAAGGAGTACGATGTACTAAACTACAGCATATGATGCTAGAGTTATGTCTTTTGCGATTCATCAAAGTTTAGTGGTGACATATGAATTTTGAACAGTAGAGTGAAGCACACCGACACAAGATATTATTTGATCAAAGAAGCAGTTTTTGATATAACGACTAAGTTAGTCAAAAGAGACGATATATTCAATCTAACTGATGCGTTGATCATAGTTATTATGTTAGAAAATTTCACGCGACATTGTGCTTGTATGGAGTTTGTGCATGAGGAGCACAAGTAGATTTGCTAGCATGATATCTTTAGTTTCCTCTTTATATAATTCCGTTGTCTTGTTATGACTACGATTGATATTTAGTTAACTTTAATTAATAAGAGTAGCCATGTGTTAGATTTTTTTCTAGAACTTCTCGCAGAGTATTAATGTACTCTCAGCATGAATTAAGCAGTAGATTGTTGATGTTAACTCATGTGTTTCGGGTTAATGTATAACAAGCTCATCGCATAGACTAGGGAGTATATAATTCCAGGGCTTTTTCACTGATTTGCTATAACAGTGGAGTTTAGAGGGAAGCTTACTCAAAGATGAATTATAAACTCGTAAGATGAGATACCTTGAATAGTTCTTCTCCAGCTTGTATAGATACTTCAAACACATACACGAAAATAAGGTCTTCTACCCACCATCCAATCTTTTTCAAATGGATCGGTGACATGGCGGATATACCTAATGAGTACATGGATTGCTGACGTGTGTTGTTCTCATCAAACACATTAACTAGCACATTCAATCTTTATTTAACAAGCACATGGATTGATGATATGTTGTTTTCAACTAACACATTAACTATTCGTTTCTAATTAACACACCAACTAGCACATTTAATCTTTATTTAACAAGCACGCAAATTGATGACATGTCGTTTCCAACTAACTAGGACATGTATTTTTGACATGACACAATAGATATTTCACTATTATTTACTCTAGTTAATCTTGAGTACCATGTACTTTAGTTCTAACTAATTAAAGATGGTTACAACTGATCACTTCATAGATCAATTAAATGCATGCGATAAGTCCTGAGTATGAGGTAATACTTAGAGGCTGAATCAGGTTACAACTTTATGTGAACCCTTTGTGCTAATTTGAATTTATTGTTTCTTGTATTTATTGATTCTCGATTTATTAATGACTTGAAAAATTGTATTCACGATGGTCAAAGATTTCAAGATCAATTTTTTATAAATTATTAATTTTCCAGCGTAATTGTTTGTGATTCTCAAATCATTACGCAATAAAAATTAGCAATTTCAATTATAAATATTTTTGATGTCTAAACCTGTAACTTCCTTATGAATGAAAAGATTTAATTTTTTGATTTTTTATTGCCTTTTTTGTTGATCTATTTGCATCAATGTCTATCATTTTTTTTAAATTGTTGGAAGTAGCAATGAGTTCATAAGCATCAACAAACATATTCAATATCAATCAAATAATACATAAATTTAAAATTTTTTGCAATTTTTTTTTGTGCAAGTTCACGATTAAAGTCAAATTAAAGTTAAATTACATCCACATGACATAAAGAGTCATTGATGAAATTTATAAATTGTGCCATTTTGAAGTACAATATTACCTTTTAAATTAAGGAGTAAAACTGATCTTTCTAAGCACAGTTAAACTAGATTAAGTCATTAAAGAACTCAATGAACATCTAAGAAAGAATGTATATTTCAATATCAATCATGTTAAATGATGAAAAAAATCAATATTTTGTGGAAATTTATGTGTATTATAAAAGTATTATTTTTGAACATTTTTCTGGAAATTTTGTGGCGTAAATCCAAATTTACAAGCTAAATCCACGTACATATAGCATTCAATGATATGTCGAGGAGTAGATGCAGCATAATAACACATCAAATATATGATAATTATATAAAATTCGTATAGTAGGAAGAGTGCAGATGAAAGTATCAGACTGTAAGACATAAGTATGTGTCAAATTTTTTTTATGATCAATATATTAACTTAAGTGCTGTTTTTCCGAATACTCATGAAGTTTGACCTAGTTAAATATTCTGATTTCTTACCTCATCTTACTCCATTTACTCCATCTTCTCGCTGTTTTACTTGGCTTCATTTCTCTTAAAATTGCTACTATCTTTACACGCATTCCCGGTCCCAGCCTTGTTTGTAAATTTGACTTTGGTTCTGAAAAGCATAACTAGTTATCAGTTACTGACTCCTGGACAAGAAGGCTTGTGACCCGTTGTCTAAAAACGTCTTCTCGTAGCAGAATGTTATATATCAGGGTCGGTTCACCACTTAATTCCATCTCTCGTTCCAGCCAAATCCTTGTAGAAAAACCGTACCATATATATATATATATATATATATCACGTTTTAGTCGATACACTTAACGTTTGAGGTCGTTTTGAAATGCTTGTTCAGTCAGGATTCAGAAGCAAAAGTAGCTGCTTCAAAGCCAAAGCTTTGAAGCAGCAGAAACCTGAAGTATAACTTGTGCCTCAATTTGCTCAACCGTAGGTCTAGTATCTAGTTTTGTTACTTTCTGATTCTATTCTACGCGCCAATGATTCACGGCCAGCTTCACAAACTTTAATGCCATATTTTCCAAAACAAAGATATTCTCTGAAGTTTGATCTCGAAAAGTATCCCTGAAAAGGACATCGGGATCGAAGTTAATCTCTCGAGCTAATTATTAGCTCGAGAGATAGAGAGAGAAAGAGAGACTCGTTCAAAGAACTCTTTTCGTGCGCCAATGGTCCGTCACCTCAACTTTGCATTCAATTTCCGACATCCATGATATGCAACAAGGTACACGAGAAGATATACAACGCCTATTTTGTCTGCATATGTGAAGTACGGCGTTTTTTTAATCAACTGCTGAACCTGCGCATGCTTTGAGGCTTCACGCTTCTGTCAGTAGATTCTGTGACTAAAGTTGCTGACGGCGAGTTCTCTTATCCTTTACCAGCTGTTCATAAAGTGCACGCAAGACCTCGAAGGGATGGTTGGCTCGTTCGCTCGATGACACCTGGTGACGCAATTCGTGGAGTAGGACGGCAACAAGTGTCTCTTCGGATATGTATGACAACAGACCGTACATACCAGTTCTCATTTGGGGTACGGCAGGATTGATTCCGCTCTCGTTGAGACATCCAGTGACCATGGTGTACCCTGCTTCTGACCTCGTACGGGACCTGGTCCGTCAATGTTCGTTCAGGGGTTTGTACGACCGAACTAATCAACTTCCACCATCGTCAGAGCAAAAGGTTTGTGATCAGCGAGAAATATTATGACATATACGAGCGTATCCAATATGGCTCACAATCTGATCATTGACTCAGAATAGATCTGAGATACGATGTGAGGCAGAATCGTGTTAACGCCATGCATGTAATGGAGTCTACTCACCGTCCCTACTGTCAACTAGTCAATCACATTTAAGTGTCTAGGAAAGCAACCAAAGTCCTTGTTCTTTAAGCATCTTCATCCAGTGATATGTCTTCGTCCACAAAATGACTTCGGCTTCGGTCTTACACTTCGATTACATTACTTGCTTCGTCTAAGTTGGAATCTCGTCAGTTACTTCCATATGAAGAGGTCGATGTTTCTCCTCTGGAGATTCACTGCACATAGTATTTCATTTGCTGATCATTCTTGGTGCAACCATGGGGGAGGCTAGTCTGTTATTGTTTCGAAAAGGTCTGTTGAAAAAAGGGTAGAGGGTCAAGAGCACAAACAAGGACGATGATGTATTTGTACGGTGGAAGCAAGCATTCATGGGTAAAAGGTAGCAGATATTCTCCGTCAATACATCTCATGGGATGATCAAAAACCAAGAAACTTCTCTTAAGCCCAACAAGCCGAGAAGGCCCCAAGAAAGTATCGTGCCTTTCACATCACATGCTTCGAACTGGAGAAAGACTCGAGTTTTGAGCAACTCAATAATTGTTTATTTGTGATGGTAACTCAGGTCGGACACTCTAATGTAAGTTCAAGGTCTTTACAGTTGTAATCTCACGATCAAAATGTTGCAACGGGATGCTGCTTTACCTTTTACTCAGCAAGAATCAAATCGTGGGAATTCGTTTCTCCATAGACGCGGGAATTTTACGAGAGATTCTACTCCGAGGTTCCAAGCTGTAAACAGTTTCATTTAACACGCATCGTGATCAGGCTTAAGATCTGTACTGACGATCGACATGAGGCCAGGCAGTACGCGCAGTACCTTTGTGACTTCATCACCTTGTTAAAACAACGCAGCCTGTACGATTTAACATGCATATAAATTCTTACGCAACAAAACGAATTCTGACTTAAAAAATACTCTTATACAGAAGAGTGTTTCCAATTTTATGGAGAGGACTGACCGATGCACTTCCATCAATGAACGGTGACGAAACTTTACACTGAGTCGCGCTCTTCTGCTTGCGTTGCAGGGAAGAGGAGGAGCGCATATAAGTTTTCACCAAGCTACAGCGCTGGCGAGCGAGGGTTCAGATATTTGCGCCCCTGGAAATGCGTGGCCCATTGTTTCAGTGCGCGACATCCTCATCAAAGTTGTTAATACGGGCTTTTCATCCCATCAGAGGATCGGCACCAATCGAACTTCTAGTGTCTTCAGAAGGCGCCGGCTTTGGTTGAAGACATAAGAAGTTCGAAATTGCTACATGCAATTTCGAGCTTCGTGTGGGAGAATGAGTGAGTCTTGCATCGGAAAGTGATCCAGCCCCATGCATAAAACGGTCTCGACACAACAGATGATCAAGGCTTGAGTGGAAGATCGATAGATTCAGGTAGTACAGTCCAGATGGAGCAGGGACAGAGTGCTGTAGAACAAGAGGACTCGCAGAAGAGATTGGATGAGACCGGTTTATACCAAGAACTGAGCCAACTCAGCAAAAGCGACGTTTTGAGGTCGAAGACTATGGAGGGCTAGGATTCATAGCCTGTCAGAACCGGGTGACCTAATGACGCTCGTACACACGCTCGTGCACAGTCGTTTGGGCGAGGCGAAATCTCTCTGCGTCACCATTATGACGAAATCTCTGCTACAGAGCTTCGTAAGATTTTATTGAAAACCACGATGTGCGAAGTCTTATTTGTGAGGTTAGGTGCTTAGTCATGCAATTCGTAGGCTTGCCGTCTTTAAAGAACACAATATTATATTCAAAGGTGCAGAACAGAGAATGTTCAAATATGTTTTTGAAGATTCATCGGTAATGCCCATGCCAGTTTTGTATATCATTGAGAGTATCGATAGCTCCAAACTGAAATCCTGGCGAGCAAGGGCGCATAATATTTTCCAAGAGTACTTTGGCGTGATCTTCAATGATGTCAGTTTGATCCACATAGCTCCTCGTCCCTTGAAACATTTTAAAATCTGGGCAGTCGGGCCAATCCTGAATTGGGTCAATGTCCAATTCAATGTCAAACTCGGGCAACGCGTGCACATTCCCCAATCCATCCTTCCTGCTGACCGAGCTGTTGTTGCCATCTCCTTCTTCGGATTGGTCGTTACCATCCTCGCTCACAGCAGAGAAACTGCCCGACGATGTCCTCACTGGATTGACAATGTGAGACCACTCAGATGCCGGGTCTGGATTGTGTCTGGCGTTGGCCCTCGAGCTCATCTGGTCGTCCAGGTTCAGACTCTCGGCTTTGTCTGGGTCCTCAGTGGACGACCCTCGCTGGAATTCCAGCGCCGCCTTGCACGAATGTGACCCTTCGTATGCCACTTGCAGAAGGTGTGGATCGTCGTCCTTCTGCTGCACGGTCTTTTTGGCTGTGCATTTCTTTGCAGTGCTATGGCTGCAAGGGTGATTACACCTGTAGTATGACCTGCAAGGCGTTGATAAATGAGTCAGCTGAAGCTCACGACCTCGACATACTGAAACAGCTTCACTTCAGAGAGTTCTGTAAGGCAGCTCACATTCAGCACTAAATAAAAACGGCTTATGAGCCATTATGTTTCAGAAGAGCAAATGTAGGCAGCTGCAGCATCGTTGCCTGTAGGTCATCTTCAGTTTTCAGAGCAATTTACCACTCAAAACCACGTATTCCTGTCTAAAGGAAGGGGTTGACTGTTTCCTGCGAAAATACAGTTCTAAGGTTGGCTAGCACAGAGTTTGTAACTCAGAAGAAAGTGTCGACAGCTCATCCTCGGTACAGCAATGGACACAAAGCCCACATTCGCAAAGCTTTCTTCCATCTCACTGTCAGTCAAGGGAATCTTTGTCACTCAACGCGTCTACACTAAAGCACCTTGCTGTTGAAGTCTAGCGACTGACACCGAGCCACGACAAGGAATTCATTTGCTCTCCATCGTGATTGTCAAGCTTGTGATCGTGCAAAGCGCAGTAGAACGGAGGAGATCATGAGGGGATGAGATAGATCATGAGACAATTACTTTTTGAATGCAGCCATCTTGATGTTTTTGCTACCATATTTTCTCCACAGGAAGCCGTCTTCAGGAACTTTGCCGTCATTTTCAGCATTGACCACGTGAAGTGGTGTCTGAGGCTTCTTGTTCTTCCGTTCTCTGCGCAGATATGTATGTCCGGTGATGACAACGCAGCAATTTCTCCAGATTCAATTGGCCACGAGCAAGTTCACGGAACAATCAGAAGCACCCGCTAAGTCTAGAAATTGACAACCGAATCTTAAAAATTGTTTGTAGGGAAATAGAAGACTCATGTTACAAGTACCATGGACCTCAATTTCAGTCAGTGTTGCTAGCAAGCATCATTTCTGAAAGGCCATGAGTCAAAACAAGGTGGGCTGGGCTATCTGACCTCTGACGATTTTTCTTCTTAGTAGTTTTGACCGTTTTCAAGGTCGGCGTAATATTGACTGCTGGAGAAATAGCGTCCAGAGCCTCTGCAGAAGTATTCCACGTATGCGCAGGTTCCACCAGAGAGCTTGGGGACCTACATGATGCATATAATCATATTGATCACGAGAAGAGTAATACAGAGAAATACCTGCCGACGCTCGAGGAACTTGGTTTGCTATCAAAATTGAGATCATTGTGGTATTGTTGGATGTGCATTTCAATTCCACTCCGATCAATCCAACAGAATAATATACTCACTCACATGAAAAAGGTGTTCATGTGCTGGGTGGAGTTTCCCATTCCACCAGTGTGACTCAGGATCTATTGCAGACCAACCCACCACGTTCAACTTGTCAAGTAAGAACCAGAAACTGCTCCACAGGAAATGTCGTTGCTTGCTAGTTAGTAGTGGCCGACTGTGATACTACTTACAAGTCCCCAGACATAGCGAAAGGAGAACAGTAAGAATTGTTGTTAGAAAAACGAGTCATCGAGAAGCGTTGCACGAAAAGGCACTTCTAGTCTCAGCTGTGGAGGCAGATTATATGATTTACGGGATGAGTCGGGTTATCATGCCGAAATAACACTTGAAGTGAATCCGGAGGTTCCTTACCTGATTTTGAAAGGGGAGAATGAGCTTCAGCTTACTGGAAACTAAACCCAGGAGGCCCCTTAGTTTCTCCTGATGCTCTGCCATTGCATGTATCGCTTCTGGGCTGAAGCATTTGCTGTCTCCGTCCAAGTTAGAGCTACGGTAAACCTGAAGGAGCTCAGTTGTTCTCATACTATTCTCGTTGGCCGAGCTTAATTCTGACAAGCAGCTCAGAATCTTCTTCATCTCGATATTCTCCGGAAGAGCATCCAGGCTTCTCAAGGCTTCGAAGTTAATACCGTCGCTCAATCTCGTCCTCTTGGGCGGCTCCATATCTACTCGCTGCTCTCTACCAGAATCGGCAGTCTCTTGCCACCTCGGAGGATCCTGCTCAGCTCCAAGGCCGCAAGGCGCTTCTAGCACGAGGAAGATGATTTTCTTCGCGACCGAAAACCTCCCCTACACATTTCCCTACATCTATACTGCATCTTGCTTAAGCTTGCTCCCGAGAGCGATGTGTCGTCGACAACCATTCAGACCAGCAATTTGAAACCAGGCCGGACTTGATCATGCCAGTCTGTTCTGTTCGCCACGAGAGAGAGAGAGAGAGAGAGAGAGAGAGAGAACCGTGTACTAGCACAGCAATTTCCTAAAAACTGCTGCGTTAGTACTGCTTGTAAATCTGCAACTGCAACTGAACAGTAACTGTCTCGAAAAGTCCTCCTCGAGCTCTTCTATCGATCTCATCTCGAGCCGCTCAGCCCACCATACACAATGATCATCGCCGTGCCTATATTTGGAGCTGGACTTTCCCAGCTAGAGGACCAGGTGGCTAGCTGCTGGGTACCAGATATTGTAAAACACTGAAGCCCTTTATGTGTTAACATTCCATCGGACCACGGACTGAGACTGCTAGCAGCGCAGAATGAGAATTTTCCAGCAGCTCCCCTACCCTGCACCTCCTTGATCACACGATCCGTCTATCACTTCTTGTGTCTGAGTGGGGCACGTTCTCATCCTATTGTTATTGTAATCTGCCGATCGCTTTGAGCTCGGCTAACTCCTTCGGCCAAACCCGATCCGCCAGTGTTGGTTTACCGGACGTCAGAGTGAGGGCAAAGTCTTCCCGCAACAGTGCGAGTTCCGGATGCCCTGCCGGTCAAAGCGTGGTTCGGAATGCCCTTGCGGTCAATCCGGGCAAACGTGGATGGATCAGGGGCTCGGGGCCTACAAAATAATTGACATGATCAGAAGAATGGCAACTGGATTAGCACCTGCCCAACAGCCTCGACGTCCGGTGTGTTGACATACATACTACCTTCACCTCGGCCACCTTGGCCGGATCCGACTGATGTTTGTAGAAACCTGCAGGCGCGTTTGCTCTCTCAGTTGTATCAGGACAGGCCATCAGGACTGTGACGGCCACCGGCGCTCAGCATCAATGCTCCTTCTAGCTCTGCTGCGATGCGTCACAGCTCGTTCAGCTTAAGATTCGACCTCCGTCATTTCCTTGCCAACTCCCCGCTGACTCCTCCCGTAGCAGATTTCATCCGCAGCTATGTCGACCATCGAGAGGAAAATTACAGTCCTCTTGTACCATGATAATGATGATGACTGCAAGTGTTGAAACCCAGATTCCGGCTGACTAAATACGAACTTAAGCGTCCAAACCAGTGGATATTCCAGAGGACCTGGTTGGAAACGAACTCCAGAAAGTTCGTCTGGTTAGCAGAGTTTCCACCTGGAAAAACAGAAACCCTCTTCGGCAGATTCTGAGAATTTTTTGTTACTGCGGATCTGTAGACCATAATCTGTAGACTGTGGATCTAAGTTTGGTGAGGAGTTTTGTGCTCCTAAAGAGGTTGGGATTGATGTAGGTATTGTTCGCCAGAAGATGGAATCATGTGTTCGATACAAACACAGTTGACCATTGGAAGGTGTTATTTGCTCCGATTCATGATGCTTGACGTTTGCTTGGTCAGTTGTACAGGAGGCTGGCAGTTGGATGATCATTTTCTGTTACAAATTCAGATTTGCTGATGGCTTCCTTCCTTCAGCATCTTCTTCTTCGGCCCTAAAATTTCTGACATCTCCACCGTCACAATACTACAACGCCACTTGAGGAAAGCTTGATATCGATCGGACCTAGGATCTCTCAATGCCTGAGGAGCAATCGAAGAGAGACACAGATGTGTACATGAACCAAAGAACAAGGTTCAAGTTTCGGGCAATGAATATATTCTCAGGACTGTTAGGGAATAAGTCCATAGTCATCGCTATGAACAGAATCCTTCATTCATTCCACACAGTTGGCGTTGTGTTCACTCTCTAAATTTCTGCAATGAACCAGGTGGAGCCCAAGGATACTAAACTCGATTACAATATACCTCGATATTGACCCCTCATCATCACTCGACTTGTAACGCAATAAACAATTGAGTTCTTTAAAATTCCATACAACCGAAGAACAGTGTTATCTTCTTTGTCTGCAACATCGGTGGAAACAAACGAGATTCAATTGCAGGTGGTGAGTGGGTTTGGAGAATCTTCAAGTGTGGGGATCTGACTGGGTCTTTGCAATGCAAGAACGAACGATTCATCCATCGTCCCTCGCGTGCACTGGGGAACTCCTACCCTTTCAAGTCTGGCTGTTAAACTAGATCTACAGTCTCTCCTGATGGGTTTATTCCAAATGCGTGCGTTATCACCATAGACCTGAACTGGAGCACTCCCTCGAAAAACATAAAGAAAGCTCAGCCCGCAGGCAGGAGCTGGGAGTCTGAGGACACATTTCGTGAGGATGGAATGTCACTCGCCTCCAGACTCTTCAAAACTCGTTCTGGCATTGCACCCGACCACCTCTTTCTTTGAACAGACATGTATATATAGAAATAACCAAATAATAAACATATAAATAGATATAGATATAAATATAAATATATATATATATATCTGTAAAACTTGACAATTGTAACGATTTTGGGTGTGTAATTACCAACAGCAATCAAATGTCTACTTTTGTGAATTTAGATTTGACTGTATCTTCCGATTTATTAAAAATTGCACATTGATACTAACACATTCCGATAGAATAGTAGATGTTTAGGTACCATACAGGAGCTTTGCCAAATCTATCAAACTCATTCTTGCGACGACTCTTGGCGGTGCCCAGCGAGAGAGATTCGCAATCCTGTAAGCTGCTCCCATGACAACGACCGACCGCAGGAATATCACAAGCACCGTCTTAGCGTCAAGTCGTCGGCCCCCAAGGAATGGGACCCCCAACAATGTCAAAGTTCGGAAAGCACGCAGAGGAACTTTGACCAACAAATCTTCTTGCAACCGCAGTCTAAAGTAAGATGATTTCCTTCAAGATTCCTTCGCAACTGTCGGGTCCCCCGAATACGGCCCTCTACGGAGAGTACAGCTCCGCTTTAAGGAAAGTACAAGGTTTGGAAGACAAGGTCGTCCACCGAAAGTCGAATTGCGTTGCGCCTCCGTCCAGTCCTCCGTCCGTCGGCTGGATGAGGGGAGCAGCCTCCACCAGTACTGTACTCCTCTCCCGAACTCCAATCCGTAGGAATCATCTTGTCCCAGTCGGCAATAATAATGAGAACATTCAGGTGGGCACCTGCCACCTCAGCACCTCAGTGGCTCAATCGCACATCTATGTGCAACTATTTAATTAATGCTGCGATTAACTGTAGCATAGTAGGTTCATTTCCATGTATTTTATAACCCAGGACCCGGGATTAGGTAAAGCCTTGAAAATCACAACAAGCAACTATCCTTGTATTTTAATATCAACTTCGTCCATCGTAAAGGTTCGGCTCTATTAGCAAAGTCAAAGTAGGTTGAAACATAAAGGTGTAACAACTCATAGAGCAAGGGGAATGTGAGGACATCGTCAACTTTAATAGGGATGAAACCAAAAGGTAGGTGTAGACTGCGTCAAGTTGAATAGGGATCAGATCAAAAGGTATGAGAAGACCCCGTAAAGTTTAGTTGGGATCAAAGCGAAAGGTGAAAGTAGGGTCCAATAACATCAAGATATGAAATTTATGACATTTCAAAGGAGATATTTGTTTCAAATTATTTACATATAACATTCAAAGAAACATCATCTAACTTGTTTGTTATAAAAAAGGGGCTTAGGATATACAATAGATTATTCTATGGATGGCAGTTGTTAGTGGACTTTGCAGAATCATAAATACACGTGTCTTACACAGGATATACAATTTTGTCGTCTAAAAACTGATGGTAGAAATGAATATTTTATATAGCAAATATATTGTCCAAAAAAATTAAACTCAACTGAAGACAAAATTCAGTATCTTTGCGCTTGGGGCAATGACGCAGTTAGTGAGGTGAAACCGAGACGCGTCAATTGCTGGTTGAAAACTATTTCCATTTCCAGTATTCTCTAATCTTCAATCACATATTTTGATTACAACATTATCAAACATTTTTGAAAAAAAGAGAGTTTCATGATAAAAAAAAAACTATTAGTGATTGAATGAAATATTATTACAACTTTTTTCAACTTTTCTATTGATAATCATTTTTTATGATATTATAATTTTATAAAAACTAAATACAATTTGATATGTTGTAATCTTTGGTATAAAAGATGCAAAAGCCATGTATAGCAATCTACGGCTCCAGTTTAGATTTATATATCGAACAATATTTTCTTAATTTAAATTTGTCATAGATGATTTATTGGTATTTAAGATCTATCATCCTCTATCTTAAGTTCATATAATTTTCAAAATTTAATAATTTGGACATAGATTTTTTTTATACATAAAATATTGGCAAATTTTTTATGAAACTAGATTGATATTTATTCATCAATATTTGAAGTTTTTGCATGGATGTTTTTTTACAGGAAAAAATTATATAAATCCATACTTAACACGTTAATTTATTTTTTTACGATTTATTTTGTGATTGTCTACATTATTCATCTAAATATATTTTTTAAATAATAATTGGATCTTAAATTTTCTATATATGAATTTTCTCAAATATTTATACGTTATATGATAGCCAGTTATTCAAAAAAATAATTTTATTATATTCTAAATCTATTGAAACTTTTTTTCGATGAAATATTTTAAAATTAGAATTTAAGAAAATTCGAAACCATTATACAGTAAAATAGTTATTGTCTTCATTCATTGATTTGAACATTTGTTAACAGTTTCTTCAAATTATAACTTAGGATTTTTTTGTAGATTTAGGTTAGAGAAGTTATTACCACTACATTAATTTCAAAATTTCGAATTTACTATTATGTTTATAATTGTGTGCATAATTTCAAACTATAGCCCAATATTCAAAGCTCATTCATTTTCAAAATATTATCAAACATGATGTAATTTGGAGTTGTACATGTTGAGTTGGTTAGGTTGATTAATCACAACTACTTATTAAACTATCAAATAACAATCTAAACATGCTTTCAAGTATAAAATTTATCTTCCATTATTTTTTATACTTAAAATAAAAATTAATATTTCATCCAATTTTTTAGATGATCTTAAGATTTTCAAAAAACTTTCAACTATTGTAATTATTTTTCTAATTTTTATGGGCATGACTTATTACATGCTTTTTATTATGAAAAATTTTAGCAATACTTAGCCAAAACGGTATTGCCTAAGATGTTTTTCATTCATTTCTACCTTCACAGTACTTTTAGATCGATGAGAAGTTATCAACATCAATGATGCAACAAAATTTGACTTCATAATAGAGTATGAATTTTACGGTGAAAATATAATAACATTGACATCAACTTAAGTACTTTCAAGATGACAAAATTATCACCACATTTTAATCATCATGAGGATACATAATTTATTCATCTTCTTTATAAACGGCATATTCACTGCGCTTATTAACATGTATTTGATTTCATCAATACAATAGTATTATTTGGGGTCAAATTTTCCAAATTTCCAAAAAATCGAAATTTTCTATGTATGTATAATTGTATAAACGTAAATTTGCTCCTATCATCTTATGTTGGATAATGTATCAATGTTTTGGTGGATATATAGAGACGAGGTATATGATATTTATAAAATCATAATCCTCGGAAGTGGTGGGGCAGAGGGGGACAGAGGACATCATATTGAAGTGAAAGTATGAATGAAAGAGTTACATGCGCCTTCCACACGCCTAAAGAATATCTGGCAGGAATTCATGTTCGGCAAATTGAAAGGTTTTTACCTTTTGAAAGCCCCCGAGTTACTGCCAGCGAAACTTGGCCGGGTTGGAAACTGTAAGTGGTCGGTAACCTGTCCCTGCCTTACGGGTCCCAAAACACGCCGTAATGTACTTTCGGGTGCAAGCATACTGCCAAAGTGCGTCGTCCACCTTTCTAGAAGCGCAGCTGAAGCACTCGGTCTACGTTGAAGCGATCAATCCGAGACGATGTCCAATCGTACGAGAGTACGACTGGACATATCTGACGTAAGTACGAGAGTACGAGAAAGATGATATGCAT